AAATCATCGAGAATCTTCCAGAATTGATGAAAATCACTTAGTCTCAAGAAACATATCAAATACCATGCAGAATAAAGGGAAATACATCACAATGAAACTATAGGATATCAAAGCATAAAGCATATTTTAATACTGAGGGAAAAGAGACAGTTAATATAAATGGTAATTTGACTTCCAGTTTCTGATCTCAACAATTTAGGTCATTGTCTATGTGGTAAGAAAGTAGGCAGCCACAGAAAGGCCACAGATGGGGGTCAGCAAATAGCTAACAAGCAGGATAAACAGAAACATTACAAGTGTGTAAGGTAAGCTATTACCTAGGAAGAAGGGCAAGAGAAGAAAGAATCTCCACATGTATTTGCTCCTATGTACCATCTAGATCTCAAATCAAAGAAAAGCAAAGTCAAAGAAGGGAAGAATCTTTCTTATCTGCCCACAATTTTTTTTCCTAGTGACCTCAGACAGGTACTTTCAGCAACTGGTTGAAGATAAAATGAATCCTTCCCATGTCTTCTAAAAGACACAGAGAATTACATGGAATTTACAGGAAAGATAATATGGAATTACTATGTAAGCAAAGCCTTTCTTGGCATCTGTATCTTTTAATAAACCACTAACAAAATAAGGAAGAATTATTATGCAGATGGAAAACTGCCTGATTCAGTTTACCCAGGATATAAATTCTGTGGTAGAACTCAGCATTACAAATAAAACAACAGATGAATACCCTGGTTGTGTAATGTTTGGGAAACCTCTGGAGGGCAGCTAAACCCCTGGAGTATGGCCAAACCCAGTGCCCCTGGAAAGTGGGAGATGGGAGAGAGGCCCCACTATCCTGTTGTAGAGGCCCTGCTGTACATTGCCTCCAGATCCATTAAGAAGTCTGTAAGTACAGGAATAGGCAGGTCAACTCCCAAACTCCCAAGTCCATCCTGCATTCATCCTGAGGCTATCCTGAGAACCACACATTCATATACAAGGCCCTAGAATAGACCAAGTCAGGATTCATCCACTCATTCATTTACCTTTAAGCTACTTATTTACTCACGGAATCAATATTTATTGAATAAGTTTTATGTTCTTGGTGCTAGCAGTACATAAAAAATGGCTGGAAAGAATGTCAGAAAAAAAAGCTGAAGTTCTTGCAAGCAATTAGCAATGGCTAGTTTAGTACTTGATTCTACTTCATCTGATTACAAAACAGGGAGGGGGAGCAAAGCTGGATATAGTGATTCATGCTTGCAATCCCAGATACTTGGAAGGCAGATAGAGAAGGGTGGCAGTTTGAGGTCAGCCCAGGCAAACAGTAAGACTTGATCTCAAAAACAAGTAGATACAGTGGCACATAGTTGTAATCTCAGCTACCCAGGAGGCAGAGGTAGGAGGATTGTGGGTGATGGCCAGCCCTGATAAAATTAGCTGAAAACCCTATCTGAAAAATGAACTCAAAGCAGAAGTACTTGGGGCATGGCTCAATCCTCAGTACTACAAAAATAACAAGAAACATAGAAAAAGAAAACATAACTATTTCAAGTTTTTGAGTAGTAAATATTTGTGCCAAAGTTCCATGATTCAAGATGCCCTAAAGTCAATTGCAAAATGCTTTCTGGAATCTATACAATATAGGCAAGGAAAGTCCTATCTATAAAGGGGACACATTTAAGTTAAAGAGTAACTTGAAGAGAAAATTTCCAGCATTTGTAAGCAATAGCAGTGGAATACCAAGTAGTCTACTTAAGTTCAGGGAGGTGGCTCTCAACATCTGGGGCGATTCCACCCAATCCCTGACCACGGCTGTGCTGGTGGCTGGGGAGTAGTGCTTAGTGTTTTTTGACCAAAAAAAATCAGTTTTTCTCCAAGCACCCTATTGAATAATTTTGGATTCTATTTAATGCCTTTTATTATGGTTTGTATGATTAAAATCTTATTCTTTGACACCGGATCTTTCAGGACTAGTTTTAGATTATTAAGTTTTAGAGAAGAGTAAGATAAAAAAAAAAATTGAGGAAAGACTATCAAAGAAGTAATCAAACTGAATTTCTCAGAGTTGAAGTAATATATGAGTAATCAGACTCAAATGGGCTACAGTGAGCCGGAAAAAATCCCATTCCTGCACAGGGCTTCATCCCACTTCAGAACTCAAGTGCAAAAAAGAAGACTGAAAACATTCTGAGAGTCTTGAGAAAGCCCTTGAGTAGACCAAGAAGGAAAAGATGAGATGGGGTGCACATGGAAATGCATTTTTTAATTCTTGGATAATAGCTCTTTTGTAGACATAGAATCTGAACTACAATAAGAAGCTGGTAGGCTCTGAGAAAAATATCTTCATAGAGAAGACAATGAATTGTAGATTAGACAAGAGTGAAAAAACAAACATCTAAAAAATGTAAGGAAAGGATAAGTATAAGTCAATTATGTATAAGTCAATTATGAAGCAAATGAACACAAAGCACACTTGTAAGTAAAGGAAGGTAATCTACTGGTATAGACTTTAAGGATAGTGTTTGAGTGACTCAGGGTCAGAACTTTGGATCAACTCAGGATAAAATGTGATCCCAGAATATCTGGCTTTTTGGTGAGTAATATGTATGTAAATTGAAGCCTTAACTATGATCATCAATGATGATCTTGAAGGATAACTCACCGAAGGCAGAAAGAATGGCTACCAATGTCCTTATATGTGAAGAGGTATTATAAAGTTTAAGGAATAAATTCCAAGTATATTATTTAAGGGAAATTAGGTTCAAGTATGTTATTTAAGATTATAATAAAACTCATAAAATATAGAATAAAAATGATTGGATCACCAAAGGCCAAGGTGGAGGGATGGGGTACCTGCCAAGGGGCATATGGAGGAAATCATATGGTGTTAGAAATTTTCTGTGTCTTGATTTTGGTGGTTGCGACTGTTCAAGTTTGTCCAAATTCATAGAACCATACTCTGAAAAAAGCTGAGTTTTACTGCAGTAAATTATAACTCAATAAACCCGGGCAGGGGAAGAAAAGATATAAGTAAGCTAATATCTTCATCTTTCACACTGAGGATTAGGGAAAGTGTGGGGTTAATAAATCAGCAAATAGCAACATAAGCATCGAGTTAGCAAGGGAAATCACCATTCCAAGAAAAGAACTACAAGTGCTTCTTAGAAGTAGTGTGGGAGAAATAGACTATTGAGCTTTGCAATTTACTTTCTACATTGTTTACTTATATATTTTAAAGATTCTGAAACATGTTTAGAAGACAGAAGAGTTTCCAGAGAACAAAGAACTTCCTTAGATCTCTTACCTAGCAATGGTCTTGTGTATATGTGTGTATTGTGTATGTGTGTGAGTATGTGTGTATGTGTGATAGCAATGGGGCTTGAACTCAGTGCCTCACACCCTCCTCTCCTTTAGCTTTTTCACTTCTAGACTGGTGCTCTACCACTTGAGCCACTCTCTACTTCCAATTTTTTGCTGGTTAATTAAAGATAAGAGTTTGACGAGCTTTCCTTCAAACAAGGATCCTCAGCTCTCAGGTTCCTGAGTAGCTAGGATTACAGGTATGGGTCATCGGCTCCTTGCTCAACCATGTTCTTCATAGCAAGAATCCAATGAAGATTACATGTGGTTCTCTGGTAGAATGCTCTCAAACCTTCTTCTGGCTGGAAAGGTTCTTTCAGCCTTTCTAGAGTTTCAGGACTTTGACCTTGTGAAGTCACTGGATGATCATTTCATTCTGTTCTTTAATTCAGTTTGCTTGATATTATTAAGTATACATATTATGTAGACCCAAGGTACATAGTTTGGTCCTCATATCATAACTAGGGGTGTTGTTTGTTGTTTTCTTACCACATCCTACTGGGGGATCAATCACAGATACTCAAACACTGCTGGCATTAGACAAAATAGTACTCATAAGATCCATCAATAGGTTTTTTTAAAAATCTGAATTGGTTATTACAGTGATGATTGCCAGATGGTGCATCTTAATGAAGTGAATTCACAGATTCCTTCTTGTTCCACACATTATAATCTATTAGAAGCATTATTTGATCTGAACTTAGTGGGAGTCCCTCAATCGGCCTAAGTGTATGCTGACATGTCACCATCATTCTCTGAGCATTCTTTAATTTCTGGAACCAGAGGAAGTCCCAGGCTCACCTTGTTCATTCTCCGCCTCAGTCCTGGAGTCAGTTCCTTTCAGTCATCCAAAGCTTGGCAACCAGTAGCTTCCCTTTGGGTGACTGATATGTACATGACTAGGCTTCCACGATTGCTCAATGAGCGTAAGTTGGAAACACACATATGCACACACCTATTTACATATGCATTTTATTTGCAGGTCAGTCTAACTATATTTACATCAAGTTTATAATAGTCACTCCAATTCCATCTTAACTTCAAAGTGTTTATGTCGCTTTCCCCCTTTCTCTAAGAGTATCTCCTTACTCTAAGAGTGAAACATACAGGTCCCATCATCTCCAATTTTATATTTACTTTTTCACATAATTCCTTCAGTTTCCCCTTGCCACCAGGCTGCCAGTCTATTTGTGGTTTTAAGCCTCTGCCAGGCTGCCTTCTCTTCCTGCTTGACATGCATTATTTTGATTAAAAATTTGGAAGGCAAAAATAGTAGCCAGGTGCTATAAAAGGAATAAAAATAACACTTTGCACTGTGATAAGTTACCACAAGTAATAATCTTGCTGTTCTAAGCATCTAACAGGGAACCAAGGTCTATGGTTTTCCTATCGCTTTCTCCTACCAACACAACTGTAAGGCACTTTAAAGCTTGATCTGCTCTAGAGAGAAGTAGAACTGAATGTCTTGAATCCAATGTTACTCTACTGATATTGTGTAGTATTGTGTAGTGTTGATGTCCCTAATGTATATACATGTATGTATATGCAAGCAAAACATATATCTTTTCTCTTTCTCTCTCTCATACACACACACACCTATCCACTTTTTGCTCTGATTATTTAGTAGCCCGAATTTACTGTGCACAAGATGTCTCTACCTGAAATGTCGCAGTATACAGTCTGTTGGTACTGCTTGGCTTCCAGAGGGTTAAAATATACTGTGATTTCAGCTGAGGAGTTTGGCCAGACATCACCTTCCTAAACAACAGGAAAGAATAATTTTAAAACAATGAGATTAAAGGAAGGAGCTGCTTTTAAACCATGGTTTAATTTCCTAATTATCTTTTCATTGAATAATCTATATTTAAGGGGTACAGTATGATGTTTTACTGCCTATAGATAGGGAAATGATTACTAAAATCAAGCAAATTAACCTGTCTATATCCTTGTATAATTACCTTTTACTGTGCAGAGTACACTAAAATACATTATAGCTGCCATACAGTAGATTAAGTCTCTAGGACTTATAAATGCAAATTTGCACTCTCTGGACAGTGTTTCCCATTTTTCCCAACTGCCTAACCTCTGCTATTTCTAATAGCTCTGATTTTTAGATTCCACATATTAAATGAGATTGTGTAGTTCAGTATCTAGCTTAATTCACTTAATGTTCTCCAGGTTTATCCACATTGCTGAAAATGTCATAAGGATTCAATTCCAGGAAAACTGAGAGAGATACTGCAACAAATGCAAGAAAGCATAGCTTTGTTCAGAAGACAGTACTTATAAGATGGTACAAGTGTAGAACAAGCTTCAAATATAACTTCAGTTAATTTATGACTACATAATGAATTACTAAGAGAACCAGGATGGACCGGGTACCTTAAAAAGGTGTGTGTAGCCAGTGGACATGTGCCAGTCCACTCCATGTGTGGCCAGACACAGGGACTTAGATAAGGAAAAGAGTGTGGTGTAAGGCTACTGGGGCTCACAGCTTAGTGGAATGGTAAACACAAACACAAACATTTTATAATGTATACAACCAGTAAGGTGCCTATAACAAAATTCTGCAGGGGCCAAAGAGAAGGAAGTATCTGACTTCATTGGTGGAAGTACCATCTTTCTGACCAAGGGAAAGAGACCTTTACTCAACAGCATTGGCCTAAGGTAGAGAAAGGACCAGATGAGAATGCATCTGACCCATTGCCCCACTGTTGGTTTTAATTCAAATCACCCCAAAGTTACAGTCAGGAAACCAAATTTTGATACTCTAATGCAAAACAGAGCCTCATACCAGAATTTCTGTGTTATGTATAAAGATTGTACCAACCACAGAATTTGGTGCTATTTCACTAATTTCTCAAAGCTGCACTAAAAGCACCTGCCTACAAAGGTTTCTTAAGGTCTGACAAAGCCAACAGCCCTGTTTTGCTCTATGTTCAGCACACAATAAGAGTTCCTGAAGAATTTGCCTTACTATGACCTGTGTTACTTTTATACCATTTAAGTATATTGAGACAAAGTATTGAAAAAGGGGGAGAATGTGTTTTTTTCCTATGATTTTTTTTTTGTAAATAGAGCCAGATGAGTCTAAGTATCAAACAATCCAAAAATCTATAAACAGTCTCACCAGCTCAACAGAAAGCTACAGCAAGACAAGCTGATAAATAAACAGATTGCAAACAATCCCTAATGTATACTCGATCCAGTCTGGCTAGAAATGACCCAACCCCTGGAATAAAGAATTTTTTTAATGACATGCGTTTTAAATTTTTTATTAAGAAGGTTTTTTTATTGTGAAATACTGTACAGAGGGGCTACAATTACATGAGCAAGGTAGTGAGTACATTTCTTATTTCTTATCAAGCATTGTTGCCTCCTCCTTTGTTTCCCCTTACCATCCCTGCCCTCCCATCTCCCCGCTACCCTCGCGCCACACCCCCCACCCCCAGCCAAAGTTGTAAAGTCCGTTTTTTTGACATAACGCCTTGTACATCTCATTGTTGCAATGGATCCACCTGTATCTCTATTTAAACAATTTGTTTTTTCCTTTCCCTTCCCCAAATTATACCAACATCAAATACAGTGAAAACAGGGTTTATGCCATGGGGGAGGGACATACAAAGCAACAAAGAAATCATCTTATAAACATGTTAGAAACAATAACAAGAAAGAAAAACCATTTTTAAGTCCTTATCTTGGGGTTCATTTCATCTAACATCAACTTATCTGACTGTATCTGCTTGTCTCAGACATATACTAGTTATTGCAATTAAGGGAAACCATGGGTAAATGACATGCTTTAAAAGACCAACATCAAGCCAGGCACTGGTAATCCTAGATACTCAGGAGTCTGAGATATGAGAATCGCAGTTCAAAGCCAGCCCAGCTAGGAAAGTCCATGAGACATTTTATTTCCAATAAACTACCCTAACAAGCCAGAAGTGGAGTTGTGGCTCAAGTGGAAGCTTAAGGACAGCACCCAGGCACTGATTTCAAGTCCCAGGAATTTTTTTTTAAGCCAGGTGCTAGTGGCCCACACCTGTAATTCTGGGTACTTAGGAGGCTGAGATCTGAGGATCACAATTCAGAGGCAGCCCAACCAGAAAAGTCCCTGCAAAACTCTTATCTCCAATTAACCACTCAAAAACTGAAAGTGGCACGATGACTCCAAGTGGTAGAGTGCTAGCCTTGAGCAAAAGAGTTCAGGAACAGTGCCCAGGCCCTGAGTTCAAGCTCTGTGACTGAAACAATGAGAAAAAAACCAACATCAAATAAAAAGAAGAAACACATCTAAAGGCAAGCTGGACTTATTTATGAGAGCAATCAGTTTGATCACTGTACTTTTTCAGGCAACATTGTTCCTGATTTCAGAATGATGACACCCAGGCTCCAGGACACAACAGTGAGATCATGTGGGTCCTGGGGGCTCTCACATCTCACATTGGCCTGAGAGGATAAAAGTGCCATGAGGGAAGGGCTGCTATACCACCAGCACCTGAACTAGAGGAGGCCCCTAGGTGCTCATTAAATATCTGCTGAATTAGTTGTATCTACTCAGTATGTACTCTATATAGTTATTATCAAGTACCTACTTATTTTTGTAACCTTTTTCTGCTGTGTTCTCTTCACCTGGAAACCTAAAAGTAATATTTTAGAGCTGAAAGAGACCTTTGAAATCACATAGGGAATAGAAAAGTTCTAAGCACTTTCATTTCTTAGACATTTTACTGTGGTGCTTTTCCAAACCTTGACACAAATATCTGATGAATGGAAAACATGTGGAAGCTTTTGATTAGTGGACTTTTAGTGATACAGAGTTATTAGGAGTATTCATGGCTGAACTGGGTGGAAAGCCAAGCAGACGACATGGCTCATTCATCCACATCTTTAACCAATGGTGTATCAGTTTACAGATGCATGTCCCATCTCAGAATTACTACAGGCAGTTTGGTCATTCAGTTTCCTCTCTGAGAGGCCATCAAAGCAAGATCACTTGAAGGGTACAGACCCTGCAGAAGGATACTTCTGCCTTTATAGTTAGAAGCAGATAAAAGTTAGACTTCTAGTTCTTGATATCAAAAGCTTAAGTAACACTGCCCCAAAAGACAATACTCATTATCTGCCTTATAAAACCATAACCCTCTGTATATCACCTTAATAATAATAATAAAAAATGTAAAAACTCATAGAATTTTCTAGCAAATGAGAGATCAAACCACAGAAACTGCCAATAAGTCTAAAATGATCCTACTATTGCTTCTGTTTTTGAAACATTTCATATTATTTCTCCAATACTAGTGAAATTAACTTTCATACCCTTACATTTCTGAAAAGATTTCTTTCTTTATTGCTCAGTTCAGTTCTAACATTTCTGAAAATCAAAACATTCAGATATTCTCCTACTGGCTCCAACATTAATATCCCTTCTTTCCAGTCCTCTGAAACCAACCTAATCATTTAGAACTTCCTCCTGTTCTCCTTTCTTTCTCTGTATGACTGCTCTCCCTTCATTGACCTTTTTTATTTCTTCAAAGGAGAGCTGTTACATTGATGTAAAAAAATAATCATCAAAATGACTTTCAGTTGCATTGTAATTATCCTCCTTCTTGGTCTTAATGTTTGTTTTTCTCTCAGATCTAATGAGTTAAGTAATTGCATTTCACATATCAATCAAGTGGCCTGCTAGAAGGAATCAACTTTGAACTCTTAAGTCTAAAACTGTTCCTATATTATGGGTTTTGTTCAAATATTAAATATTGCTGGATTTGGAGCTTCATGTTCCCTCTGAACACCAATCAAGCAAGAGATATGATGGCCACTTTTGTGGTTTTCTATGAAACATTAATCATTAGTTCATGATTGGTAATAAATAATCATAAGTATATTGTCCTTTAAAATTGATTGACTTTAAACACAATTATATTGGTAATGATCAAAGGGGCTTAAAAATCTCCCTTAAAAATGCTAAAAGAGCAGGGCATTGATGATTCATGCCTATAATCCAATCCCAGCTACTCGGGAGGGTAAGATCTGAGAATAGTGGTTCAAAGCTAGCACAGGCAGAAAAGTCTGTGATACTCTTATCTTCAATTAACCACCAAAAGGTCAGGAATTGGTGCTGTGGCTCAAAGTGGTAGAGCATTAGCCTTGAGCACAAAAGCTCAGAGAAAGCAGCCCAGGACCTGAGTTTGAGCCCCAAGACCAGGACACCTACACAAACACAAAAATCTAAAACAAAAAGCTCTAAACAAAGAAATCGCCTTTCTTCCCTATTACTCATTTTTTTTTTTGGGGGGGGGGCGGGGTCCGGTCGTGGGCCCTGAACTCTGGGCCTGGATGCTGTGCACCACTTCCGGCTTTTTTTCTTTTGGCTTATGTGGTGCTGAGGAATCGAACCCAGGGCCTCATGCATGCAAGGCAAGTGCTCTACCACTAAGCCACCTTCCCAGCCCCCCATTACTCATTTCTATCTCTCTCCCCTTCCTCCTTTTTTTCTTCTATTTTTTTTCTTTTTCCCTCTCTTCTTTACTCCTTTGAAGGATATTTCAGGAACATCCTGCCAAATCAAAAACTCAAGTGCAAGAATAGAGTTACTTATGCTTTTACTTCACTTATCTGGAAAGCAATATGTCTCAAAGTTTATAACATGACCCAATTCCCACATTAATTAAAGTAGCTACATGAAATTTCCATCCATAGGAGTGATACAAATGTTTCCCTATTCAATGGTATACTTTCCAATCATAGTCTGGGAT